CTCTGGTTAGCAAAGCTGGAAATCCAGCCAGGTGATATTTGACCTGCTTTACTGAGTAGTATAGGCCCACCCTTGAAAGTCCCAAGATTACTGGTTGGTTGGGTTTGGGTTTGCTTTGTTTTTTGGTTGTGGATTACTTGGAGGGAAGGTAATATTTTGTTTCACTCTGTATCCCAAGCTGGCCTCAAGCTCATGCTCTGCCTATCTGCTGGGCTGACAGGAGACCCCACACCTGGATCAGTCAGGTTACATTCATATCTAAATGATGCCAGCCTTTATCCACTAGAACAGTGCTAGAGAATATTTTTGGCAGATAACCAGAGGGCTGATAACCAACCACAAGGAGGATGGCCTCCTGTCAATGGAAACTGACATGCTCTCAGGTTAAAAACAGCCCATGCCAGACCAGTGGCTCACGCCTGGAATCCTAGCTACTCAGAGGGCTGAGATCTGAGGATCTTGGTCCAAAGCCAGCCCAGAAAAGTACTTGAGAGTCTCATCTCCAATTGATTTCTAAAAAGCTCAAAATGGAGCTGTGGCTTAAGTGGCAGAGCGCTAGCCTTGAGTGACCTGAGTTCAAGCCCCAGGAATAGCAAAAAATAAAAATTATTTATTTTTATAAAACAGCCCTTCTATTGTGATGTGGATATGAAGTGTTCCCCAAAGTAGGTTTTGGTTGAGAACTGTTCTGCGATGGACCTATTCATTGAGAAGGCATTGGAGCCTGAGTCCTCTGATCTAATCAATAGATTCATCCCTTGAGGGATTCACATGATGCTATTTTTCACTTATTATCTCTAGTTGTACAATGGTATTTCAATTCAATGTATTATGAGTACAATGCATCCTGATCAACGTCCCCTCTTCCATATTCTCCCCAGCTCTCCTAACCCCATCCCACCCATCCTCTCAAGTAACATGATGTTGTTGAGGGGTGGGGCCTGGCTGGAGAAAGTAAGTCACTGAGAACAAGTGCTTGAAAGTTATAACTTGCCCTCAGCCCTTTCCTGCTTCTATCTGCTTCCTGGCCACCAAGAGGTAAGCTACTCTCTCCAGTACACCTTCTGCCAGGATGATCTGCCTCATCTCAGGCCTAGAAACAATGGACTAGAACCTCTGAAACCATGGGCAAAAAGCAGTCTTTTCTCCTTTAAATTGCTCTTTTCAGGTATTTGTCACAGAAACAAAAAATTCATGAAAGTAGTATTTCATTAGCAGTACATTTATGTGAGAACTTTGTATTCACATACAAACCTGTCTAGCTAGATTAGATACACACACACACACACACACACACACACACACACACACACACACACACACACACACACACACACACACACACACACACACACACAAGCACGGTCATTTCTCCCCGTGTACTATAGTAGGATAAAATTTTAGAAAACACCTTGGGTTCTGATTTGTTTTCTTCACTAATCAGTTGAGTCCTTCAAAATACCTTTGATTTATAGAAGGTCCTTCTGTTTCAACATGATATATAGTAGTCTAACTCCATTTTTTGGTGTGTATACCAATACTAGGCCTTGAACATGGGGTCTGGGTGCTTTTTCCTTAGCTTTTAGTTCAAGGCTAGTGCTCTACCACTTGAAACACATCCCCACTTCTGGCTTTCTGGTAGTTATTGGAGATAGGAGTCTAATAAACTTTCCTGCCTAGGTTGACTTAGAACTGAGAGCTTCAGATCTCAGCTTCCTGAGTGGCTAGGATTTATAGGCGTGAGCCACCAGCACCCAGCTCAGCTATAGAAGACCTCAGAAAAGATTCACAGAAACCTGGGAGAAGACAGAAAAAAATTTAAATTGTTAGTTGTTATGCTGAGCTTCAATATACTACAGCTCTAGGCTTGAAGTCCAGTTTAAATGTAATTGTAGTGTGTTTGATCTACGTGTGTTCTCAGCTTCTAGTTCTTGCTAATAATAGTAACCAACATTAACTTCCTGGGATAGACTGTTCACATTATCAGTTTACAGTTGAGATTTTTGCTAAGTCAATAATATGGTTATAGGATTGCTGACATAGTATTATAAAACCAGAGATTACTATAGACCCTACATGTAGAATCAACATTCTGTATTGGTCACTGGGAAACAATTGCTACTCTTTCCATTTCCCTATATTCCAACACTATGTTCTCTCTATAACTGAAGCATGCAGAGCAACCTCCTTTTCCCAGGATGCTTTACTCCTGACTTTTAGCTGGCCCTATTTTTTCCAGTCTCAATTCAAACATCATTTGCCCTGTCTCATCCTGTTGATTTGTAGTTCCCATCATAGAATGTTATTGTGCTTGTGAATTTTTATTTGCCTGTTTTCACTATAAGACTCTAAATTTCACAAATGAACTTACTGGACTCTTAAAAAAAGCTCACTTATCATGCACTTTCCTTCTTCCTTTCTTTCTGCAAGAGATCTGGAGCTGAGTTGGCCATCCTGCAAGAAAGAAAACCATACAAAGATAGCAGAGCTGAAAGACAAGACATGGAGGAAATGATGCTGAAGTTGCCTGACGAGTCCTGATGATAGCTCACTGCTGTGCCAAGTCACTTGATAGAGATGTGAGACAATGTCCAGTTCCATCTGACCACTAACAGGACTATTAGGAATTTATTGCATACCTGCTATGTTCCAGAAATGATTTTATGCTCTCAAGGCACAAAAATAACCATAAGCCACTAAGTGGCTTAGCAGAATTAGCTGCCAATGGTAATTCAAACTCTGAAGTCAACCTACATAATTAGGAAGCTGTAAGGCTTCCTGCCACCTGGAGAAAGGTGGGGACCTTTCTGTGTGAGACAGTGAAGATATTAAGCACCAGAAAGAGGTCTCCAGTGAAGGGATGAAAGAGGCCAGGTGGACCAATGCAAAATTGGTAAGGGAACACAAGGCATGACAATGTCCCCTCCAGGAAACTGGGCTACTTGGGAGGAAGGATTTTCATCTATACATATGATCTGATCAGCCAAGCCTAGTCAGCACTTTATTTCCTTCCTGAAAAATGGTTAAAGGGCCAGGTGCCAGTGGCTCACACCTATAATCCTACTCAGGAGGCTGAGATCTGAGGATCACAGTTCAAAGCCAGGCCAGGCAAGAAAGTCCATGAAACTCCCACCTCCAATAAACCACCAAAACACTGTAAGTGGCGCTGTGGCTCAAGTGGTAGAGCATTCGCCTTGAGCTGAAGAGCTCAAGGACAGTGCTCAGGCCCAGTTCAAGCCCATGCCTGACCAAAAAAAAAAAAAGAAAAAGATTAAAGTTCCATCCAGAATTCCAGTTCAGCAATAACTTTATCTACAAATGTAATTTTCAGAGTAATACCAAGTATTACACCTCCAGTGGTAATGGAGTGAGCAACAGTATCACGGAACTTCCTCTGTTTAATAACATTCCATCAGTAACACTACAAACTGAGCATCCACTAAGAGAACTATTCATACAGGTTAAAAAGTCTTGAGGAGGGGCTGAGAAGGTGACTCAGTGGTAGAGTGCTTGCCTCGCATGCATGAGGTACTGGGTTCAATTCCTCAGCACCACATAAACAGAAAAAGCTAGAAGTGGCGCTGTGGCTCAAGTGCTAGAGCACTAGCCTTGAGCTGAAGAGCAGAGGGACAGCGCCCAGGCCAGAGATCAAGCTCCACCACTGGCCAAAAAAAAAAAGTCTTCAGGAGTCTGGAAAGAGTAAGTAAAGGTCGACAATGAGGCTTTACATCACGAAAAGACCATCACACCCAATATTTATACTTCTACCACCCACTTGGGCAAGTAGTAAACTAAGGTTATCTTTTTTAGTCTCTTAAAACACTACCTAATTCTGGTTTCCTGTGTCTTGCCATGTGACCACAGCCTAAGTGTCACGCTACTGACAGGAAAGTGATGGGGCCATCTGAGAGTCTCTCCTTTCTAAATTGTGGCAGAAAGCATTTCAAATCACATTCTCCAAAGTTAAACTCTGTATTGTCAAAATGCTATCAGTTTGTTTCAAATACTATCCACTTACCCTTTAGCTCTGGAAGACCAAATTGGCCCAGGTTCCAGGCTTTTTAAAAAGAATGTGTTAACAATGTTTACTCTGAACCTCAAAAGCTAGCAGATAGATATAGCCACTCTAGCAAACCGTCAAATATAAGGCTAAAATACCTGTAATCAATTACGCTTTTAAGAAATACACTGTAAACTTCGATGTTTTGATAGCAAAAAGTTTAATCTGACAATTTCAGATGACTCAATTATTCTAAATATATTCCTTAATATTACCTAGACACTAGTTTTCCCCCAGTTCTGACTCAGTTCCACTCCAATCTTTATAGTAACAACAAACTGGACTCCCTGTGCATCCACACAAGGTAACTTGGGATGTAGTATTTCATGTTACAGATTAAGTAACAACATAAAAACAAATTAGTGGTACAGAACAAAAGCAAAAACCTTAAATGTCTAACAACCATTCTACTAACCCCTAATGCTACCAAGAGTGGGGCACATTGGCCCTGGGGCCTCACAGGACTGCAAAACACATTTGGTGCACGATGGAATGCCACAGGCGCTTGTCAGCTGCCCATCACCTCGGCCTCTATAAAACTGCAAATGGCCCGTGAGTGTTAAAAACATGCAATCACCTGGCAGAGGGTTTCCCTTCCCTGAGTGGACACACATTAGCCACATTCTTGCATAGCTGAGAAACAAGAAACTTACACTCCCAAAGCTAAAAAATAACCTACTTTCACTACTCCTGTGTTCCAGGCTATCCCACGACAGAGAGGGCCGAGGGCAGAAAAAGCATGAAGCTTCTCTTCAACAGTCAAGACCCATCCAACCCCTCCTCCCGACTGCAACAACACCCCCACTTTCCCCACTGCAGGAGGAACAATCTCACTATGTCAACATCTCGTACCACTCACAAGCTTACAGATAAAAATCTCTTTCTGCTTTTGTTTTTAATCTAAGACGTACAAGTGTTAACCAAAATAAGACAAAGAAAGCATGGTAAAGACCACTTTATTGTGGTAGTCGTTCGTACAAGTCAATAAATATTGATCCCCAAGGAAGAACTCGGTTATTCAGGGCATCACCAGTCCACAGCAGGATGAAGGACATGGAACCAGGTGACTGCTGGGGCAACTTCACTCAGTTCTGCTTCTTGGGAAAGGAAGCCAAAGCCAGCTGATATATGGCATATGCTGTTCCTGAAAAGTACAAATGAAAGAACTTACAAGAAAGTCTGGGCTGAAACTACATAAATTTTAGCACTCCAACACAAATGTTGAAAGCCAAGATTGGCATTAAGACTATCCTAATGAGAGCTCAAAAATGTATTTTGACAGATGCTAGCCAACTTTTCATTATGTAAAGTATTTAATCTAGTTCCAATATTAATTTCTAGAGAAAAGGTTAAATACAATATGTAAATGTCAACACAATATAGTTATGTCAATATCATAATGTAAACTTGAGCTGGGCACCAGTGGCTCAAGCCTGTAATGCTAGCTACTCAGGAGCTAGCCTAGGCAGGAAAGACTGTGACACTCTTATCTCCAATTAACCAGCAAAAGGTGTGAAGTAGAGGCATGGCCCAAGTGATAGGAGCGCCAGTTTGAGCAAAAAATCAAAGGAAGAGCACCCACACAGGATGTAGCTCAAAGGCCCAGGGTTCCACTCCTAGCACCACTTAATAAAAAGAAAACATGCCTAACTCAAAGTATATTAACAATTTTAAAACTGAAGTCCAATGATAAGACCGAGATGTTTAAACAATCAAATTACAAAATAAAATTTTATTTTTAAAATGAATTATCAAAATGTCTAAGAACTAATCTGGCTTCAAAGAACCTAGTACATTATCTTATTAATAAAGCCCCAATACCCATCCAGATATAATGGCTCATGCCTATAATCTCAGCTACCTAAGAGGAAGGTACAGATGATTTCAGGCAAAGCCAGCCCAGACAAAAGTTAACTGCATTTCAAAGAACAGCTGGACTTGGTGGTACACACTTGTAATCCTAGTCATGTATAAGGTATAGACAGGAGTAATTCTGTTTGAGGCCAACCTAGGCAATTAAGTATGAGAATCTATCTGAAAAATAACTAAAAAAAAGCGGAGAGGCATGGCTCAGGTGGTACAGCACCTGCCTAGCAAGTGTGAAGGCCTGAATTTAAACCTAGGTACTTACTGCACAAACAAAATAAAATACTGACTCCCTACAAGGGTTACAGAGACCTAAGTATGTGATAATCCAGTCAATAAGATGGCCTCATGATCCTGTAGCTACTGCTCCCCCTCCTGGCTTAGGAGGGCAATCATATAAATCCCTCCCAGTGCTCGTATTCCACCTCCCTATTACTCAGTCTGTGTTTATTACAAGCACCTGCTACAGGAGGCAGACTCCAGAGCATCCAGTAAAATACTCAGAAAGCCCATAACAACATTAGCCATAAGACTGTTTTTGTGTAAAAACTAAATCAAATGAAAGTGAACTATGCAACTCATGTGTGGAGATGGGATGGAGGGAATGTCAGAGTGAGGAAACAAATGACACTATGAAAAAGGAAATGTACTTATTCCCAGGTGTTAAGGTAACCCTGCTGTGTATCACCTGTAAAAAAACAATAAAGTAAATGGGTGGGGCACATCAAAATGATTATAAACTACAGTATGTTTCAAAACACATCAAAATGCTCTTAAAATAATCACCCTGTCCAATCCTTACATGAGATATAGTCTGGAGACAGACAGTTTGTGGTAAAACACTATAACAATGGAGTTGGTGTCAGTATCACTGTTCTACACAGAACCAGACATTGGGAAGGACTTACCACCAATTGTAAGAAACATGGTGACTCTGTATAGGAGAGCATCAGTCACCCCACCCTTTAGATGCACTGGAATTCCATTATCCTCCTAGGTTAGGAAAGAAAAAACCAGCATTACTAGATTGTTACTTGGCAAGGGTTAATTAGTCATATAAAATAAAACAGCACATTAAATCCTTGGAGTTCAACCATTTTAAATATTACAATTAAAAAGGCTTGCAACTGTCTTAATGTTCTCCAACAATTTTTCAAATATAAACTCCTAAATGTCAGCATTTGTTTCAAGGCTAATTTGAGATTCAACAAAGGCATTTTTTACTCTAGGAATATATAAGCATTAAAAATACACAATGTACTCATCAAACTCAACATTTTCAATATGATGAAAGAATAATAGTCAAACTAAAAGTCATAGGAAGGGTTTTGTTTTCTTTTGCCCTCTCCTTATAAAGGAGGATATCTTTAAATATATGTACTTTTATCACTTAAAATTTTACTGGGGAAAAGTCAGAATTCATGATAAAAGTCACTCATAATCTACTTACAAAGATAAATTGCTCTTCTCAACTCCATGTTCCCCCAAGAGATAACTACCATTTACAGGATGGCGTAGAACTCTACTTTTCAATGCTTATGTTATCAATTCCTTTATATACATTCTTGTTTAATACAAAATGAGATTATGCTATACAATGATCTGCCAGACACTATTTTTGCTCAAAAGTCTTAAAAACCACTGTTAGTCAACTTAAAATTACCTTATTCTTTTCAGTAGCTACACAGTATTTCACCATGGGTAATTATTAGCTGAATTAACCAACCCTCTATTAATGCATACTTAGTTTTTGGATTTTTTTTTTTTGGGGGGGGGCGGTCAGTTGGTTGTGGGGCTTGAACTCTGGGCCTGGGCTCAGCTCTTCACCTCAAGGCAAGCACTCTAGAGCCACAGCAGCACTTCCAGTTTTCTGAGTGGTTTATTGGAGATAAGTCTCACGGCCTTTCCTGCCTGGGCTGGCTTTGAACTCAAATCCTCAGATCTCAAGCCTAGGATTACAGGTGTGAGCCACCAATGCCCAGTTAGTTGTTGGATATTTTTTAAAGATGCATCCCACCTTTTTTTTGTTTTGTTTTGTACATCTCATTGTTACAATGGGTCAATCTGTATCCTTATTTAAGCATTTTGTTTTTCCCTTCCCCTCCCCGAATTAGAGAAGTGTATATACAAGATGCAGGGCACCAACATCAAATACAGCACTTATGTAATTATTTTCACATAAGTCTTTAAAGAGTGGGCTTTCTAGATGAGAGGGTAATATGACTTGTGTTTAGTAGTACCCTCCTTAACTTTTGTCCCAATTACACTACTAGTTAATGCAGATGAAAGCACTGTGGATGAATACATTTATCTCCCATACCAGCTAAATGTAACTATTTATAAATCTTTCTGAATGCTTGCTAATTACATGTGACTACTAAGTAGTATCTTGTCAGCTTAACATTATATTGTTTGTTCGAATAAAGACTCACATTTTAATCAAAGCTAGCTTTTCATTTCCAGGAGTACATAAAGAATGGACAGTCTAATGACTATAAACTTTAAGAGTGATGGCTCAGGCTTAGGCTATTTTCTTGATGACACTGAAATGGCTGAATTGGTTAACAAATTTATGCAAAGGAGGGAAAAGAGAAACAAAGGAATAAATCTGAAGTGCTGACACCTTCAGGGCCCAGAAGGCCTAGGCCCCAGGTACCACAGCATGGCAGTACTCCTGCTCCAGGCAGGAAGGGCAGGCAGACACAGCCAGTAGTGTTGCCCACCTCTAGTGCAGACGCAGTGCTTCCCAATCTACTACCTGACCAGACATGACCTGGAAGTAAGGAGCAGGTCTCAGCCTCACCAGTCAGACCAAGTCCTGGCCAATGATTACAGGTAACTTAATATGCATCCTAACTGATTTTCTGTTCTTTGTAATTATACTAGCCTTTCATACTAGAAAATCCCTCAAATTGTACCCTGTCTTTTGTAAAATATAGACCATTTTTTAAAAAGAACATTTCACTTCTTTTTAACAGCTCCTTGCTACCTCTACATTATACAAAAGGGGAATCATTTATATGTGCCATTTATTTCTTAGAAGAGATCTAACTTTACCTTTTTTTATTGGGGGGGGTATTTTGAAATAAGTCTTATCTATGTAGTGTAGGCTGGCCTGGAAGTCCTGTTTCTACCTTCCTAATGTTGGAATTTCAAGTGTGTGCTAGCACCCCTGGCCTCTTTTAATTATGTTTTTCCAATAGTGACCTTCTGTGCCACTACCAATATTCTCTATCTTTTAACTTATAAAATAAACCTCTATACACATATTTATTCTGTTTCTGGATCCTTTCTATGGTCCATCTGCCAATTCCCACGCAACTATTCCTAAAGAATAAGAGTTCATCTTAAACTCTTCCCAAAAACTTCCTTGTTGACTATCCCTTATTCCTTCGTGTTTTATTGATTGCTGTCCTAAAAACAGTAAATGCTCTTATTAGATATCAACAGAATTCCTTATTACACTTTTGCTAATACAAAAGGCTCAGCAAGCAGACAACTCTAGATTTACTTACTCTACCTTTTCACGCTCTTAATTATTACAAATAACAATCTCCTAAAAAGTAGTTCAGTACCTGAAACAGCTTTTGTTTTTCTGCAACCTTATTTTGCCAGTGCCTGCGTGGAGCAGTGCTGATGGTCCTCTGGGTAACTTGACGAAGAGCCTAAAGTGGAAAATCCATTTATATTAAGTACTTAAGAGCCTAGAGAGGGGCTGGGAAGGTAGCTCAGTGGTAGAGTGCTTGCCTTGCATGCATGAGGCCCTGGGTTCGATTCCTCAGTTCCACATAAGCAGAAAAAGCCGGATGTGGTGCTATGCCTGTTCAAGGGGTAGAGTCCTAGCCTTGAGCTGAAGAGCTGAGGGACAGCGCCCAGGCCCAGAGTTCAGGCCCCACGACCGGCAAAAAAAAAAAAAAAAAAGGGGCCTAGAGAAGCCTTACAAGCTAGCTATCTTCAATGCTTCCTTTTGAAGGAAATGGAAGACAATGCATATCTGCTTTAGCAGCAACAGAAATTTGGGCCAGCATCTAGATTTTTCAATCTGTCACCTATTCGCTGCTCTGCTCTCCATATCAACATTCTAGTCTCTAAATGACATATGCAAGAGCTTCACCTAAGGTGAACCAGTAGCCTTTGTAAACACTGAAAAAAACATTGATATACAGATACAGAAATCCTTGGGCTCCAATGTTGTCATTTTATAATTTCTCACATTATTAAAAATCTATTATCTGTCAGCCAAGTGCTCCTTACACGGAATTAAAAATGCTCCAGTCATTACGTTTATCCTGAGATGTTCATTTCTGCCGTGCTGGGGTTGAATGCGGGCCTTGAATATGCTAGACAAGCATTCTGGTGAGAGTCACATCCTCAGCCCTCTCGGAAATTTTTTTTAACCATTTTTTTTTTTTTTGATCCAGTCGTGGGGTCTGAACTCTGGGCCTGGGCGCTGTCCCTCAGCTCTTCAGCTCAAGGCTAGCGCTCTACCACTTGAGCCACAGCGCCACTTCCAGCTTTTTTCATTTTGCTTATGTGGTGCTGAGGAATCAAACCCAGGGCCTCAGGCATGCAAGGCAAGCGCTCCACCACTGAGCCACCTTCCCAGCCCGGAAGTTTTTTTTAAATAAAGAATATAAACCTGTTTTTAAAACACTCGCATTTGCACAGTTAATTGTGCTAAGAAAATAAATACGATCTTAACTTTCTACGACAAATGGTCTTGAGCAGCTACATAAGACTTTACTAACTACATAAGAAAATAATCATTGTAGCGGTGTTTCCTCGGCCGAGGGCTCGCGGGCGGAGGCGCTCGCTCGCTCGCTCGCGGAGATTCCGGGCCCGCCGTCCTCGGAGCCATCAGCTCCCCGAAGCCCCGCCGGTGGGGGTGTGCAAGGGGCCGGCCCACAGCTCTTGGGGTTCCACTAGTTTCTAGGGTGCCCCGTCCCCCAGCCCAGTAACGGCCCAGGGTGCCCGGGAAGGGATGGGGGGGGGGGGGGGGAGAGGTCAGGCCGGGAGAAGGCGGACCAAGGTGACCCCGGGCTGGGCTCCGGCCCGCTCCCAGGACAGGGCGCCGCAGCGCGGGCCGGGGCCTCCGCCCCCCGCCCCGAGCCCACTGCCAGCGCACACCAACGAACGACTGACCAGCAGATTTCGCAGCATCCTGGCTCGGTGACCACCGCTGACTCCGACGAGAGAACACCGGCACGGAGAGCTACCCCACCGGAGGCGGAAGCGGGAAGTCTCCCGACCGGACGCACCGGAAACAGACGTCCGCGCCACCCATAGAGACCGGAAGCGAGCGAGAGCGGCGCCACCGCCTGGGCCGCTCTGGCCGGCCCGGAGTTCCGCTCGCTGACCTCGGCCGCCGCCCGCGGGAGCCGGGCCCCGGGGGAAGCGCAGCTCCCGAGCCCCGGGAGGCGCGGGCCGACGAGGAACGGCTTCTCATAACGAGCACCTAACTCACGGTGGGCGGTGAGGCTGCAGGACCAGGACGGCCGTGCAGGGACGGCCCGGGAGATGACCCGCCGAGTAGTGTATTACTTACTGGGTGAGGGATCTAGACATCATGATTCCACCCCAAAAGAACCACAGGTCCGATTAACTATCCAGGAATACACAAGAGTGCAGTGGTCTCTGGGCTGTACCATTCCCAGACTTAAACCACTTGGACTTCCTTATAGCTCCCTTTCCTCTCCTAACCTTTCCTTGACACAATTTTGGATTAGCTTCTCCCCCCCAAGTAGGATCGCCATGTTTCTAAATAATCTCAATTTCAGCTTTCCCAGCAGCGACAAGTAACACAGTTAATACTTCGTGTTTTGGGTCGATTGTGGGGCTTGACCTCAGAGCCTGTCCCTGAGCTCTACCACTTTGAGCCACAGCCACTCCCGGGTTTTCTGGTGATTGCTTGAAGTTTTCGGCACGGGCTGGCTTTGAACCATGATCCTCCGATCTCAGCCTCCTGAGTAGTTAGGATTACAGGTGTGAGCCACCTGTGCCTGGCTCAGGATATATGTTTAATTTGAAAAACCACCATCCACAAATGCAGTACAGCATGAAGGATAGTTTAAAACCATGTGGTTTGATACACCACTGTCAGGGATTGAAGTGGGGGCTGTTCCTTTTCATTTTCTTGTATCTTCAGCCTCTCCACTTCCTAAATTTGAAAACACCTTTGTTTTGTGAATTTATCCAATCACATGGCTTGAAATGTCATTTGTATGCTGGCAACACATACATGTTAAGAGCTATATTTCCCTTTAATTCAAGACAGCCCCCACTTAGCAGTCTCAAGAGCATATCACAATTAAGACCAAAAGTGAACTCTACTTCCCGTTCCTCATTTTAAAACCTCCTCAGCAATTTCCCTCATTTTAAGACCCAAATTGTCGCTGCTTTCCTTCATACCTTAGTAGATTTAGCTGGCTACAATTTCAAAATGTAACATGAATCTGGGCATTTCTAAACTATTACTCAAACCACCAGCTTGTCCCATTTGGATTACTGCAGAAACCATTTTCACTCTATTTCCACTCTATTACTTTCCATACATCCATCTACCATACAGCAGTGATCCTTTCAGGAATTTAAGTTGATAATACAACAAAGCTCAGAACTGTTTTATTTACTGGTATATCTCCAGGCCCTAGCATAGTAACTGATCCATAGAATAATAAGTGGTGAAATGGAAAGCAGAGTACCCAAAATTACTATTTAAAATGAGGAGGAGGAGGAAGAGGAAGCAGGGAGAAGGAGGTGGTGAGAGGAGGGAGGGGGAGGAGGTGGCTGAGGTGGCTTGGTGGTAGACTGCTTGCCTCATGTGCATGAAGCCCTGGGTTCAATTCCTCAGTACCACATAAATAGAAAAGGCCAGAACTGGCGCTGTGACTCAACTGGTAAAGTGCTAGCCTTGAGCAAAAGAAGCTCAAGGAGCCGGTGGCTCACACCTGTAATCCTAGCTACTCAGGAGCTGAGATCTGAGGATTATGGTTCAAAGCCAGCCTGGGCAGTAAAGTCTGTGAGACACTTATCTCCAATAAAGTACTCAGAAAACCAGAAGTGGCACTGTGGCTTAAGTGGTACAGCACTCACCTTGAGCTAAAGAGCTGAGGCACAGAGCCCAGGCCCAGAGGTCAAGCCCCACAACCGACAAAAAAAAAAAAAACCCAGGATGTGTCTATATCTTACTGTTAAAACTTACAGAACTGTACATTACAGAAAAATGATTTAAACTTACCATATAATCTTAAAAAAAAAAAAAAAAACTGGGGGAAGAGGGAGGTAGAAATGACATGGCTGTGATTTTAACTGATTTCCAAAAGACAAAAAGCAGATGTAGTGGCTGAGATGGACAGAGGAAGCTTCAATCTAAAGCAGGAGTGGGAAACATCTGGCCACAGGCCTGAGTCTGTAAAATCACATAATAGGACAGACATGTATTTGTATACATCTCATTGGCTGCACACAAATGTCTGCCTGTACTATCATTTTGCATAGCCTGTGAAAGCTGTTAAAATACCCAAATGGCCCAAGTGGCGGAAAAAATGGTTTCACTCCTGATCTAAAAAATAACCAACTCAAAAGGGGGCTGGAGGACTAGCTTAGAGTGGTAGAACACCTGTCTAGCAAGGAAAAGGCCTTGAGTTAAAAACTCAGTACTGCCTACTAAAGACATAAAAATCGAAGGACAGTAAGAGGAATACCCATGAGAAAGAAACATGTCAATAATTGACAACTCGGGTTCAGAGGTCAGTGTTAGAGTCAAGAGCGGAGGGGGTGGCAAGCCTGAAAAAAACACAAAGTTGAAATCTCTAAGACTTCTGCCTCTCTTCTCAGCCACAAAATAAATCTCACATCCAACTGTTCCCCACTGTAAGAGAAGACAATGTTTATATGGAATAGATAACTAGTTTACAAGAAAATATTTGTCAAGCACAAATCAAGGGAGGTGGAGAACAAGAACACAAGCAGAGTTAACCCAAGTTAGAAAGGTCAGGCACAGTATTACATGCCTGTCATCCTATCTGGGAGCATGGCTCAAGAGGTAGAGCCCTTGTCAAACATGAGGCCCTGGTTCAATCCCCACTAGCTCAAAAAATGGTAAGAAAACACCTGTTGAACTGACACCGCTTTGTACAATTCCAAGAAAACGAGACCCAATTCCACCCCCTTCCTTATGCAGGACTAGAGAAACAATCCCAAAGAAAAGGCTCCTGTGTTACAGCACTGGGTCCCTACCTCTCTCAGGCAGTGCTTCTTAAAATGTGTTTTACCTATGAATTCATTACTGTGCTAAGCTTTTTAATATGCACAGCTTAATTTGCAGTGCCAATGAAACCCATTACTTTTTAGGCAGTGTTGATAAAAGTGAAGCATTCAAATAGTGTTCTGGGGTCTAACATACAACAGAAATATGAAGGAAGCCATCTATATGAACAAAAGCAAAAAAGAGCCAGGTGCTGGTGGCTCACACCTGAAATCCTAGCTACTCGGGAGGCTGAGATCTGAGGATTGTGGTTCAAAGCCAGCCTGGGCAGTAAAGTCCATGAGACTTTTATCTCCAATAACCATCAGAAAACCAGAAGTGGCGCTGTGGCTCAAGTGGTAGAGTGCTTGCCTTGAGCTGAAGAGCTGAGGACAGCGCCCAGACCCAGAGTTCAAGCCCCACAATAGACCAATAGACAAAGAAAAAAAGAACAGCAGCAGCAAAATCCTGACCTTAACACAAGGTAGGAAACAAAAGCAATGATGCCTTTGCACTCATACATATTCTCAGAAAAATAAAAAATTCATAGGGACCCTAATAAGAGGATATTTTAGAAAAAATGAAATACATCTTAGAAACTAAATTTTCATAGCATGTTACCAATTCAACAGACAGAAAGAAGTATTAAAAGACAAAGTTGAACTCTAGAGAAGATAATGGCATCTAAAGAGGAAAAACAGAAAACTAAGTAGCAACCTAAGAGAAGCAACAGTCTAAGATCAGATTACTCACAAGCAATAAGAGAAGCTAGAAGGGCAGAGCAGTGTCTTCAAAGTAGTTGAAGAAAAAGACCTTTACTTTAAAATTATGATGTGTAGTCAATCCTTAAAATAATGTGAGGGTTAGGGGGCATTTTAAACTAGGCATGGTGGTGTATGCTTGTAATCCCAGCGTTTGGGAGGCTGAGGTCAGAGGATCCTGAGTTTGAGACCTGTCTCAGGTACAAGAGTGGGTTCTAGGTCAGCAGGGGTGGGAGGAGGTAGATATTTTAGACGTTAACTGAGAAATGTTATCTTTAATATGCTGTTTCTAAGGCTCATGTTTTAGGGAGAGATCCAGTAAACAAGAGTAAGCTGGGGAGCAGGAGACGCCCAGGGTGGATGACAGAGGGAGTCACCAGGAGAAGAGAGGTGCAGCAGACTGAGAACAGCCAGTGCGGGCTGCAGAGCAGACCTGCCAGTAAAATTGGAGACATTGTCTGGGTACAAAATGTTTCAAAACTAGTGATAAGAACATAGTGGACCTGACAGAGATGTTGAAGTCTTAAGGCAGATTCAAAGTGAGGTGACTAACTGCAAAAAAAAGTACTATAAAGGAGAACTGTAGCTGGGGGCCAGTGGCTCACGCCTGTAATCCTAGCTACTCAGGAGGCTGAGATCTGAGGATCACAGTTCAAAACCAGCCCAGGAAGGAAAGTCTGTGAGACTTATCTCCAATAAACCACTAGAAAGCTGGAAGTAGTGCTTTGGCTCAAGTGGTAGAGTGCTAGCCTTGAGCAGACGAGCTGAGGGATAGTGCTCAGGCCCAGAGTTCAAGCACCACAACCAACAACAAAAACGAGAACTGTAATCATGGTACACGACACTTTGCTCTATATTCTTTCTTAAACAACAGCTGGTGTTCTTACTAAATATTAAGATGTAACTATATAACAGAAGGTAAGATATGTAACATCAAAGTATGCCTAAAACTTAAAATCAAATAAACTGTCTGAGATAATGGAAACTTTTTTTTTCTTTCTTTTTTTTGGTGCTAGTCCTAGGGTTTGAACTCAGGGCCTGAGCATTTTTGCTCAAGGCTAGGGCTCTATCACTTGAGCCTCATCTCCACTTCCAGGTTTTTGTTTTGTTTTTTTTGGTGATTAATTGGAGTTTTTAAAGTCTTATGGACTTTTCTGTCCAGGCAGACTTCAAACCATGATCCTCAGATCTCAGCCTCCTGACTAGCAAGGATTATAGATGTGAACTACCAGTGCCTGGCAACAGAGAAAAACTTTCAGAGTCAAGGTGATCTTATCTCTGAGGAGGAAAGGAAGGTTCAGGCAGGGACAACTCCCTTTCACCAAGAAGCATTTAGAACTTAACTAGCTGATACTTGAAATTGTGCCACATGTTATTTTGATGAATTTAATAGATATATAAAAGCAAATGATACCCCAAAAAAAAGCAAATAACATCACCATGGTCTGATTTGTTTTTAGACAATATATTTATTTGGAAATTTCAAATGACATTAGGAGAAATGTGATTCTCTTAGGTTTACTGGATGGTTCCTAAAACATTTCACCAGACCATCCAAACTTCATCACACAGCTAGTAACAGCAGCACTTCTTCAGCCCCCACCCCCACCCCCCTCAAGCTTGCCATGTCCTCAAAGAGCAAAACTTTACAAGGTAAACAACAAAGAAGTGCCACAGGATCTCTGAGGCAGTGTCTATCCGAGGAGGGAGGTAGTGGGCTGCTCCCCTCACCAGTCTGGCTTTTCACTTCCTGTCTCATTCATTGATTTCCCCGTTCATGGCTCTCTTTCAGCTTACATTCCCCTTCCCATAATACCAAATGTAGCTAGCCTTAGCCAGTCTATCTATCTTCAGGTAACAATCTGGCCACTCCCTGATAATAACAGATGCTCCTTAGTATTGTAAGTCTTGCCATGTCAGAGACTAATATAGATGTAACAATTTTTAAATAAATGACATTTTTACCAAATCAATGCATAAATTAAAACTTATACTCACTGACAGTTTAAAACTGAGTACTACCCATTAGGAACAACATTGAGACTTGAGTATAGCAAAATTAATTTTGTTCATTTTTATTAGTGCAGAACATACTAGCAGGATGTTAACTTTACTATTCTATAAACATATTACTTGACTCTTCTTAAATGATTATTAGGTAGTACAGTTACTTTTCCAGTTTATTTTCCAACTGCCTTATAATATCAATAAAATGTCTTAGCTTTTACTTATTGAATAATTCCTTCAATTGAGAGACATTTCATGTCAAAATATTTCCTGACAAACGATACATTTCTCTCCAGCTCTCTACTTAACCTCGGTTAAAATGTAAGACTATGATACACAAATATGACATCAGTGTTTCCAAAACAAAAATAATCAGCAATAAATATCTTCCTTTTTTCCCATGCTTCCCAGAGACCATATGAGACCACTTTCTTCCACAGCCATCCCTTGGTGCTCAAACGACAGGAGGCAGGTGAGAACACAGGCCACCCATGTCCTGGCAAACAGACCACACTCCTGCCCTGTGTTAAGAGTCCACGATCTCCACAGATGTGAAAGTGTGGGAAGAGTGCTTTCACTCTTCCTCAACAGAAACCTTGCTCCTTTGGTTAGAAAAGAGGTGGAGAATAATAGTCCCTTCTCTGGAAAGCTTGGAAAAAACCTCTCTCTGTCCATGAACTGTTCCAGAAAATAAAACTGGTATGTGCAAGAGACAATTTTCAGGAAAAGAAAAACAGAAAAACAACAACAACAAGAAGCATGCTGAAAAGACTGACAAAAAAAGACTACTTTTTAGATTAAAAAAAAAAAGACTACTTTTAGGTAAGGAACAGTCTATGTACTCACAAAGTGTAGAGTAACCATACATCAAGTAACTCATGCAACAATATTTTCTGAAGTTAAAAGTTACTACGAATTACAAGTTCTTTTAACTGAATTCCGTGTTATACAAAACTGAACAATTGTGGCACATTTCTACTATGAACTATATCATTTTTTAAAGCAGATATTATTCAAAATTGATACATTACCCAGACCTTCTGATTGAAAATATAACTGAAGGAAATCATTACAAATCCTGCATAAACAAGCATACTTCTGCATAAACATGAGTTACTTTAGGTATATAAAAAAGAAATTTCAGTAAGTCATCTGATTCACACATTTTCATGCATATGGAAAAATATTTTACATTCACTTCAAGAATTAAGTTCCATAGCAAACAAATTACAGCATTTATTCAATAAAAGATATTAAAATAATTCCAGTTAGTAGAAAATAACTTCATAATTTATCATGTACATAATCCAAATCCCTACAATTTGTAGGAAATTTCTAGAACATCTGTTTAAAGTACATCTTAGGAAAACTAACCAAAACAATTACAATCTTAAGTAAAGAAAATATGTATACATATCCACATTTGACCTGTATGCCAAAATTGAATAGAGAGGAAATTAAAATTCCAAAAATGTGTACACTATAATATTAGTACTTAAGCCAAAAACACTTACCTGCCAGTTAAGCACAGCTTGAGGTATTTCCAATGCGGACGTGATTTTCTTAATGTTAAATACACAAGAATGGGACGCCATTGAGCATTTATGTGGGTTTACAGTTGAGAGGGAAGAGGATACTCTGTCAAGCAATACCCACCTCACCTATGTTCTTGTCTTCCCTTACAATGTGTAAAGCCTCAAGGGAAAGGACTGGGTATAAAAACATTTCAAGTGAGTTGGGATTCCCGACAGCCACATTTGAAATTCTTCTATTCAAGACCTTTTCCATCTCCCTAGACATAAACATTCATTTCTAGGCCATATGAGGCAAGCATGTCCTTTGAGTTCAAAGCTAAGCTTAACAACAACAAAAAAATAACCTGTACGTAATGGATAAATTGAATAGATACCATCTTTGAATACAAAGGTGGCACTTTAAGCCTTCACACAAGACACAAGAAAATGGTGAAGTGTTTTATTTAGATTTGGTCTGTCTTCATCGTTTCCTAATTCTGAATCGTGAAAGGTTATCAAGTCATGACACTCATACATCTTGTAATCCTTTCTCTTCACACACTGGGCACACATATACACATCATATGTCAATATAATATTATTAACACAGCATAAACATTTAAGCAGTAGACGCATTTCACTTGAAAGAGGCTCTATGCATCATGTGGCTGGTCCCAATAAAAGGCAAACACCAGAATGCTATGTAAGCAGTTACAGTGTTGATATGATCAATATAGCTAATTTTTATAATACCCGTCCAATATTTTGGTAAGTCATTCTAGGTAAGAAGCAAAGGACAAAGATTTTCTTTTAAAAAAGAAAACTTATGTGCCAACTTCAAAATGACATACTAACCAGACATCAGCATTCAAAAGCTAGGTTGAACAGGACTGGCCTCACGCACATGCAATAGATCTGTTTTCAGAATATAAAATTATATGGTAATGTCAGCAGTATTACTACTGTTTCTGTATTTATGATTAATTACTAGCAGTACAACTCCCAGAAGGAAAGAGATGGATCCAACAGTGATGTAAGCAATCCCCAAAAATGGATTTTTTCCTCCCATCCATGAAATAGTGGTCAAGATCATCCGTTTTCGACCATCAAAAGAATGGACTGGGTAATCTGAAGAGGGTATAGGAAAATGTTTCCATCTCTAATTATTTCATGCATAAAACATACATTTGTATAATTCGATAATATATACTCATAAGTTCCAAATCATTAAAAAATTATACTATTATCTAAAGGGCTAATTTAACAAATTACCATTTGTTGTTGTTGCTGTTGTTCTGCTTTTGTTTTTGTTTTACAGCCTTAGAGATCAAACACAGGCCTTGTACATCAAGGCAACACTTTAGCTCTGAGCTCTTAAATGTCCCAGCCCCAATCTAGCAAATTACATTAATTTTAAAGCAGTAAAAGCCAAAACAATCAAATTAAGGTTTATAAAGTTCCTCGGTTGGTTTTGCCTTTTTTTTTTTTGTCAGTCATGGGGCTTGAACTCCAGGTCTGAATACTGTCCCTCAGCTCTTCAGCTCAAGGCAAGTGCTCTACCACTTAAGCTACAGCGCTACTTCTGGTTTTCTGGTGATTTATTGGAGATGAGTTTCACAGACTTTCCTGCCCCGGCTGGCTTTGAACCTCAATCCTCAGATCTCAGCCTCCTGAGTAGCTAGGATTACAGGCGTGAGCCACCGGCGCCCAGCAGTTTTGCCTTCATTAAACAGAAGTTAAAGGCTTCACAGTCATGTAACATGAAAAAAAAAAAAAACTTCAAATAACCAGCAGTAAAGCCCAAATGGACAGAATGACAGGCTTGGAGGGGGAGGTGGAAGGTCGGGAGGAAGGAAAGGAAGAATCAAGAAACTGGCAGTGGGAGAAACATGTGGGAAAGTATAGTCATGAGCTGGGCTCTGGTGACTTATCCCTGTAATCTTAGCTGTCTGAGAGGCTGAGGCTGGATCACGGTTAAAGGCCAGGCTAGGCATATATGTAAGACCCCCTTCTCAACCAACAGCTGGTTGCACTGGTACACACTCGTCCTCTTGGCTAGGTGAGAGGGTAATGTTGGAAAGACCTCAGTTCCAGACAAGCATCAACAGAGGTCAAGCAATTACATGTCAGTGGAAGAAACGGCATGGAGACATGTACCTGCTGAAACATAAATAAGAGGATCACACCAGGGCACATACCCGGGCAAGAAGCAAGAGGCTAACTGAAAAACAACAGCCAGGGCAAAAAGGGTTAGAGAATGGCACAGTGATCAGAGAACCACTGGGTCCAAACCCTAGTATAACCAAAAATAACTTCTAAAAAAAAAGTGTCCTTAAGAGACTGAGAGGGCTCTGAGCACAGGGTCACAAAGCATGAGAAACTCTAATACAACATTAACATTCCATTAACATAACCATTTACACCTACATTAATCTCTGTCTCCAAAACCTAAAAAGATGGGTTAGAATCTAGTAGTTTCTACCTTACAACCCCTATTTTAATAAATCTTGATGGCCTAGAGACCCATAATGTGTCCTGTCAATGTCTGAGACATCATTTTCTTCTTTTTTTTTTTTTTTGGTAGGTCATGGGGCTTGAACTCTGGGCCTAGGCACTGTCCCTGAGCTCTTCAGCTCAAGGCTAGCACTCTACCACTTGAGCCATGGCACCACCTCTGTTTTTCTGGTAGTTCATTGGAGATAAAAGTCAGGCTGGCTTTGAACTTCGATCCTCAGATTTCAGCCTCATGAGCAGCTAGAATTACAGGCGTGAGCCACCAGCACCCAGCTGAGATATCTTTTTCTTGACAGTTCTCCCAGTACTTGGGACTCAGCTACAGACTTCCTGAATGTACACTATCTTCTAATTAAGAGCTTCCCTTACTATGCTGTGTATTAGGCTATATTTTGGTATTACATCTATGTCCTCTATTTTGGCTATTCCCTCAGGATTATGTTCTTTCTATCAGGGTCTGAATTGAGCCTGTGTGTTCCTATGTGCAACATTAAGAATCTAGGATTCAAAAATAATCCTTATTTGAAGTTGGCCTATTAATTTAGCATTTACCAATCCACTACAAAATTTTATAGCTCATTAAAAGTCTATGAAAATAAACAATTTGAATATCAGCAAACATTTAAATTATTAAAATCTGAGCCAGGCACTGGTAAGTCATGCGCCTATAATTCTAGCTACTCAGGAGGCTGGAGAGCTGAGAATCAAATTGCAGAGCCAGACAAGAGAGACAAATCTGAGAGACTCTTATCCTCAATCAGCAAAAAGGCAGAATTGGAGGTGTGGCACAAGTACTCCAGACATGAGCAAAAAAATCTAAGTGAAAGCACCAGTCCCTGAGCTCAAGCCTCAGTTCCAGCACAAAAAATAAACAAGGGGAGGGAGGGAGGGATGGAGGGAGAAAGGAAGGAAGGAAGGAAGGAAGGAAGGAAGGAAGGAAGGAAGGAAGGAAGGAAGGAAGGAAGGAAGGAAGGAAGGAAATTTAGAAATCATTACAGTATATTTAATGATAGGATAAAAAATTTTAAATGTAAGGACCTTGTTTAGCATAAAGGGAGCTGCTCAATATTTCTCCCTCTCCCCCCCCAAAAAAACAAAACTGTTATCTATGTATATATGGATTGATCTGACTGACTAGCTAAGTGAACTAGATAGGCATACACACTATGGCGGTGGTCAGTGCCCTAGCCATGCCCTCTAATTCTTCTAATTACTACCTGTATAACCCAGCCAGCTACTTAATTACTCTAGGCTCCTATATTCTTGTCTCTATGGAAGGATATCTACCTCATATTACTGCTTGAATCAAATAAAATAATGCTTAGTATACTATTAACATACCGTAAGAATGAAATATGTTCTTATCAGTACTGAAAGTGAACCTAAGTTTTATTAAGGTACAAAAATATAGGTAAGAGGCTGGGGATAGTGCATGTTTACCACATTCAAGGACCTGGGTCTGATACCCAGCACCATATAAACAAACAAATACCTGTAGTAATAAAACTGTCTTTATATTATGAACAGATCAGTAATTATTACCTATTTTTATGTGAATAAGCATATGTGCTGATGTTTAATAGCCTTCCAAAAATCTATTCAAACAACTCAATGTTCCTAATGTCTACTTAGTATATGATATATTCACTGCCTGTTGTTTTAAACTCAATCAAAGTAAAGCAAGTATCTATATTTTAAGTAATTTTACCAAATGATATGCTTGAAAATACTACAAAATATTCAAAAATTCAAGACATTTCTATAAGATACAAATTAGGAATATTCTTGTACATACACATACTCATAAAAATTCAAACTAAAGCACATAGTAACAAGCCACATAACTGAGATATGGCTGCATAAACTCCTTTCAAACTCTATGATTTTGAATACATAACCAAAAAAGGATACTGTATGTGATATTCAAATAGTATCGTCCAGCTGGCAATGTTGGATGTAAATCGTTTCTCCGTTCTATAAGACGATATAGCTTACGAAAAGTAGGTAATGCTGCAGTTCGCATCCAAACCATAAAATCCTCATTTATGAATCCATTATTATCTTCATCAGAATCTAGCATGTATACTGGTTTAAGCCAGTTTACTGGCTTTGTTGTCCCTTAAAGAGTGGATGAAGGAACGAGGAAACAAAATATTAAGAGAGTCAATAAAAACTTACTCTATTAAAATTAAAATGCACAATACTAAATCTGATTACTTAATTTCAAAACTATAAAAAATTTATATTCTAAGGAAATTTTAAAAGCTATTCTTCCTATAAGAACTGAACAAAAAAATTAAAATTTGGATGATATCCCAATAAAGAGAATACAACAAGGAGAATATATATATATATATGAAAAGGCAGATTAATGAAAAAAATATGTTAAGAAATACTACATTGTGAATGAAGGCAACATAAAAATAAATTTAGATTGAAACTAGGGGGCTTATATAAAGAAATTTTGCTAGTTTTTTTCTTTTTTTCTTTTTGGTCCGGTCGTGGGGCCTGAACTCTGGGCCTGGGCACTGTTCCTCAGCTCTTCAGCTCAAGGCTAGCACTCTACCACTTAAGCCACAGCGCCACTTCCGGTTTTTTTCTTTTTGCTTATGTGGTGCTGAGGAATTGAACCCTCAGGCATGCAAGGCAAGTGCTCTTCCACTGAGCCACCTTCCCAGCCCCAATTTTGCTAGTTTTTAACAGATGATAACCGAGAGGCTGGGAATGTGTCTTAGTGGTAGAGTGATTGCCTAGTAGGCATGAAGCCCTGAGTTCCATTCCTCAGTACGACATAAACAGAAAAAGCCCAAAGTGGTGCTGTGGCTTAAGCAGAAGAGTGCTAGCTGTGAGCAAAAAAAGCTCAGAGACAGTGCCCAGGCCCTGAGTTCATGCCCTAGGACTGGCAAAATAAAAAAAACGTTAGAGCTGACAGCCTAAAATACCATATAAACTGCACTTATGATTTAAAGCAAACAATTCCTTTAGAATTTTAAGTCATTAAAACATTTAACTCACTTGGTATGAAGTCAAGAAAAAAAATGTTGCTGTTTAGAAATTTTAAATTTGTCTAAAACTGTATAAAGAGGGAAAATTTAACCTACTTCATTAAAACTCCTACTTTTCTTTTTAATGGAATATTAATATTTTACCTTTAAATCGTTCTTCCAGGCTTCCTGATCCAGGAGGATTTCTGAATTTCACATTTTTATCTGTCCACCAAGCAATACCTTTCTTTTTCAAATGAATAAGTGTAGGTACAGGGTCAGATTCATTGGCAAGCAGAAACAATTCTAATGTATCTAAATAGAAGAAAAGGAAAATATGACTAATATCCACTAAAGATCCACAGTGCCTGCTTTATTCTACATGAAATGAGATTCTGATATCGCTCCTAAAAACAGAAGTCACGTAAGTGTATGGCTCACATCTGCTCTTCATTTAGATGTGAATTCACTATGGCCCCTTTATAATTCTACATGGGCTTCCCCTTCATTACAGATCTAAGTCACAGAAATGTGATTAAGTGTTTTAATATTAACCTAAATAAAATTTCAAAGTAAATCAACTCTTTTATTCCTTTTAAAACATTGACAAGAAGCCAGGAGCAGGTGGCTCACACCTGTAACCCTAGTTACTCAGGCTAAGATCTGAGGATCACAGTTAGAAGCTAGCCAGAAAAGTGCTCAGGGACAGCATCCTAGTCCTGACTTCAAGCCCCACAACCGACCAAAACAAAAAAGAAAAAATACTGCTAAGAACTCATGGCTGCTTATCCATTTCCCTTTCAGCACATATAAACAATAGGTTCACATGGCTACTGCGGCTTGAAGTATATTTAGTATTAAGAAGTATGTTTTGTAAGTGTATGGACCACATCAGAATTTGGGAGTTAATATGATTTAATAATATATGTATGTATATGGTATTTTAGTATTATATTTATGTTTACATATATTTATATATAATATATATGTATTTTACATAATTTGCCGAAAGGATCTTTTAGGTACATTGGGTTAAAGAAAATACTAAGTTTATTTCATTTGTTTCTTTTGACTATTGGAAACATTTAAATTATCTATATGGCTCTCAATTATAGTTATATTTCTACCAGGCAATGCTACTCTAAATGATCAATTACAATTTCCTTTTAATGGCATAAATAATCAAAGTCAGTGAGGAGGGCAGGTTGGCTGCTATTCTCTTATATGAAATAAGAAGTAAAGTTCCTCTGCTTCATCTACTAAGAGACAGAAATCTATTTTAAAGATGAGAATGCTCAAAAGGGAGTCATAACACATTACAAACCTCCTTTAATACCTAACCGGGTAGTCATCTTGAAGTTGAATTTCTCAATTTCATTCCTATATACTAAACCATCAAATCTGTACTAAGATTATTCAAATTGTTATAATGATGTTTATTTGTATTGATATCTGTAACATACCATTAAACATGCTGTTGGCAATAGCTCCACAAGGAGCAATGGGTTTGTCTTCATTTCTTCGATACGGCTCACATTCCTTACTAGGATTCTGGTTTTTGGAAGAAAAAGAGAAAAATTATTACCTCGGCATATGGAAGACTATGAGTTTCCTTCAATACTTATTAAAAAATTCAATACCTGTGTTTTCCCACTTGTATACATCAGGAAGTATGTATTGAAAACAGACTATAAATAACTCCACATTGAAAGAACTGGGGGCATGGCTCAAATGGTAGACTACATGCCTTACAACAAATGAGAATTCCTTAATTCAAGCCCTTCCCAAATTAATAATGCTAACCTTGACTCAAAATATATCCTTAATATTACTGTATTATCTTTTTGGTTCCTCCATCCTCTGATACGGGGGGGTAGAACTCAGGACTTTGTGTTTGCTAGGCAGGTGCTCTACCACTTGAACCATGTCCCCATCCCTTTCTGCTCTGGTTATTTTTGAGATGGGAGGTCTCACTTTTGCTCTGGCCAGCCTGAACAGGGATACTCATATTTACACTTCTTGGTGTAGCTGGGATGACCAGGTGCACATCACTATCCCAGCCTTTGTGGCTGAGATTAGGTTTTACAAACTTTCTGTCTAGGCTGACCTGGAAGCTTGATCTTATCTATCATATCAATATCTACCTCCCAAGGAGCTAAATTACAGGTGAGTGTCACCATGGGCAGCCCTCTATTGCCTTTTTAATGCAGCATTTATTTGCATATACTGTTACATAAGCATATATCCAATTATTGTCTTTTTACTCTCATATTTACGACAAACTCACAACCACAGACTTTTGCTGTCAGAAAAATTATGAAATGATCAACCAACAATCCAGTTATAATAAAGGGAAGCTCAATAGGAAATGTACTCATTACCTTGCTCGTGTAACTGTAGCCCCTCTGTACAGTATTCTTACAATAAAAAAGTACAAAAAATAATAATAAAGGGAAGCAGAAGCTGGGTGCCAGTGGCTTATGCCTATAATCCTAGCTACTTAGGAGGTTGATATCTGAGGATAGCAGTATAAAGTCAGCCCAGGCAGAAAAGCCAAGGAGACTCTTATCTCCAGTGAACTCAAAACTGGAAGTGGTGTTGTGGCTCTGTGGCTCAAAGTGGCAGAGAGCTAGTCTTGAGCAAAAGAGGTCAGGGACAGTACCTAGGCCCCAAGTTCAAGCCCTACAACTGACAAGAAGTATCAAAATAAAAGTAAGAATAAAAAATAAAGGGAAGCAGAGAAACTAGAGTTTACAGTGGTTTTAAACAATTCCTCTGATTAAAGTGAGCCTAATTTATAAGGTATATGCCAAACTATTTTTACATTTTCTAATTCTGAATTAAATCTTGTATAGGGAAGGGAAAGGAAGGGGGAAGGGGGGAAGGAAAGAGGGAAGGAAGGAGAGAGGAGAGAAGAGGGGAGGGGAGGGGAAGAAACGGCAAGAAAGGGAGAGGGAGAGAAGGAGAAGGAGGAGAAGGAAGAGAAGGAGAAGGAGAGAAGGAGGAGAAGGAGAAAGAGAGGAGAGGGAGAGAGGGAGAGTGAGATGGAGAGGAAGATGAAGAGGGAGAGGAAGAGGAAGAAAAAGAAGGGGGGGGAACAAAGAGTCAAATGAAAATTCCTGAAGCATACCAGTTTTTGGGTTTGTTTTTTTTTTGTCGTCGTGGGGCCTGAACTCTGGGTCTGGGTGCTGTCCCTGAGCTCTTCAGCTCAAGGCTAGTGCTATACCACTTGAGCCACAACCCCACTTCTGGCTTTTTCTGCTTATGTGGTCCTGAGGAATCAAACCCAGGTCCTCATGCATGCGAGGCAAGCACTCTACCACTGGGCCACCTTCCCAGCCCATACCACTCTTTACACATCCAGGTGTTGTGGGAACAGAAAGGCTTGAGGCAGAACATCTGCCTGTCCTCCAGGTTTGGTTTTGATTTGTCTCTATGAAAGGCTCAAGGAGATAGGGTGGTTATGGGGTTAAGCTAGAGGTGTACTATTATGGTCAGGAGTAAGCCCAAGACATTCTGGGACTCCAAGCCACATAGTTCATGTCTCTACACACACAACTGACCAAGATAATCGCAACATGAAACTAACTAGACCTGAATTATATACCTCCTAGGATCATTTCACTACTGACCAACCCTGACTTGTATCTATATTCACTAAATTTAGATTTGAAGAGGCACTAGATGAGTAGAAAAAACAGGAGAGCAAATAGCAGGTATCTTAAAACATCTCTTCTATATCTGACTTCTCAGTGTTCCCCCCAGCCACCCAAACCATCAACATTATAAAGACCATGAAGATAGATAATCTACAATGGGCTTAGTGCTTTCTGAGTAAACTGATGAAAACTATGTTTTAAAAGTTATTATTAAAGTTGGGCGTCAATGGCTCACACCTGTAATCCTAGCTGCTCAGGAGGCTGAAATCTGAGGATCACAGTTCAAAGCCAGCCCAGCAGGAAAGGTTATTATTAAACATAAACTCACATTAGGGCAAATATATTCTACCAGCTAACTTATTAGGGTGTTATTGTTGTTGTTGAGGTGGGGGTCTCACTACACATGCCTGCCCAGCTGGCCTGGAACTCATTATACAACTCAGACTGGGCCTGGTTTACAGGTATGCACCAACATGGCACTGTTGGCAACTGTAACCCCTTTATAGTAACAATAAAAACTTTTTTTAAAAGTCTATATTCATCTAAAAAATATTAGGTACCTTTTATGTGCCAAGCACTACCTCCAGGTATTTAGTAAAATGATGAAAGTCATCCTCCTCTAGTTTATTAGCTTACAGCGAAGTTAGGAAAACATATAATAAAGAATTATGCGTGCACAAACTAGACTACATGTCATGAATGCTATGGGAGTGATTTGAGAGCAGGAGAAACTGCTACAAAAAGTTTGTCTTTGGAAAAAAAGCATCATAAAACAAGAGTAAGCACCAGCCATGTGAACGGCAGGCACAGGGAATAGCACATACCTGGAAGAAAGAACCTGACATTTCTAAGGAAATCTTGGTGAATGCAACTAGAGTGTGACAAGCGGGAACATGATACAACTGGAAGCTTATGCCTGGATCAGAACATCCTGGGATTTTTAGTCTACATGCTAATATGCTATGAGAAGATTTACAATAGGGATGTGATAGTTATATATTTTAGAGACCACTATGGCCTTTTTTTTTTTTTTTCCAGTCCTGGAGCTTGAACTCAGGGCCTACTCTGAGCTTCTTTTCCTCAAGGCTAGCACTCTACCACTTGAGCCACAGAGCTACTTCTGGCTCTTTCTGTATATGTAGTACTGAGGAATTGAACCCTGGGCTTCATGCATGCTAGGCAAGCACTCCACTGAGCCACATTCCCAGCCCACCACTATGGCCTTGTTACAATAAGTCTTCCTTTGCCCTCAGTAAAGAAAGCAAGTATCTAAATAAAGGAGAAAAAAAAAAAAAACGAGGAAAAAAAATTATAAATAAATAAATTTCAAATCAACCAACATTTCTAGGTCTTTGGACAAACCCAATCTACAATCTCAATAAAAATATCCAAATAGGTCTAGGGAGTCTCAGTGTGTCTCACAATAATTAATCATCTCATCTCCTCTGAATACAAAAACAGGATTCTATGGAGTAAATCCTCTATGAATGAAAAATACTGTAGATTTTATCTAAACTCTGTGCATATCAGAAAGTCTCTAAACATTATTTGTATTCCTTAGTTTCTTTAGAAACAATGGAAACAGTTTGGATAACCTAAGGCTTATTCTGGCACAGCAAGCTCACCAACTCTAAGGGACTCTAAACTGCTCTGGGCTTCTGAATGTTTGCTGCAGTGGCAACAATAATATAAAATACTTAGGCATTGATTACTACTATGAAAAGTTACAGTCAAGAACCTAAAAAAAAAAATCTAAGGTAAAGCACAAAAGAGACTTTTTTTTTTGGTCAGTTGGAGGGCTTGAACTCTGGGCCTGGGCACCATTCCTCAGCAATTCAGCTCAAGGCAAGTGCTCTACCACTTGAGCCACAGTGCCACTTCCGGTTTTCTGGGGTAACTGGAGATAAGATTCTCATGGAGTTTCCTGCCTGGGCTGGCTTCAAACTATGATCCTCAGATCTCAGCCTCCTGAGTAGCTAGGATTATAGACATGAGCCACCAGCTACTGGTCAAAGAGACTTTTTAAAAATCTAAAGCTCCGGGGCTGGGAAGATGGCTCAGTGGTAGAGCACTTGCCTTGCCTGCATGAGGCCCTGGGTTCGATCCCTCAGCACCACACAAACAAAAAGAAAAAAGCGGGAAATGGCGCCGTGGCTCAAGTGGTAGAGCACTAGCCTTGAGCTGAAGAGCTGAGGAACAGCGCCCAAGCCCAGAGTTCAGGCCCCACGACCAGACCCCCCAAAAAACAACAACAAAAAAAAGAAATCTAAAGCTCCACTCTTGCAGATGCTGACACATAAACTTGGGAGAATTCTACAATCTATACATCTCAACAGTCCAGACAGTTGTTGCTTTTTGAGTTTTTTTGTGCCAGTCCTAGGGCTTGAACTCAGAGCCTAGGTGCTGTCTCTGAGCTTTTGTGCTCAAGGCTAGTGCTCTATCACTTGAGCCACAGATCCACTTCTAGCTTTTGGGGGGTTAATTAGAAATAAACATCTTATAGAGGTTCCTGCCTGGGCTAGCTTTGAATCATGATCTTCAGGTCTCAGCCTCCTGAGTAGTTAGAATTATAGGTTTGAGCTGCTGGCACCTAGCACCATACTCCATTTTAAAACACAATCTGAGAAATAAAGGCTGCTAATCCATATCCAGGTGTGGTGCACACCTATAATTCCAGATACTCAGGAGGCAAGATATTAAGATTGTGGTCCATGGATGGAACAGGGCAAAAGAAGTAGACCCTAAACAAAAGCAAATCAGGAGCTGGAGGTATGACTGAGGTGGTAGAACACTATTTTCCTAGCTATGAGAGGTGTGAGGCCCTAGGTTCAAAACCCTAGTACTACAAACTCCCCCCCACCCCCAGCCAAAAAATAAAAACACTCATTTACATATATCTACCTAGCATAGTAAGAACAAATCTAAACAAAATACATCTGTACATCTACATTGTTAGACTGATCAAAATTCCATCACAACCAGATTGATGCAGTTAAAAATATCAGTAATGACGATGAACAAGCAGGTTGTGTTATGTCCTCTAGCTGTAAGAATCTGTGCAAAGTTCAGAAAAAAAGTATATTTTAACTAAAAAACACAAACCAGAAATAACAAACATGGTTCATGTTTACATTATTAACTGGTTACTTCATTCTTATTTTAGATACCACACTTTTATATCTCTTCATTTTACTTACAAGCAATGCACTAGGATCTCCATTGAGTTGACTGTCATCTCGAGATTTCACATAACGACGATGATTTTGATAGAAGCTAGACAGTCCATAATACATAAACACATTGCCCTAGAGAAAATGAAAGGGAAGTGATTTGCATATGAAAATAACCATGAATTAGCTTTTTTTTTTTTTTACTGTGTACAGAAAGGTAATCAGTCTAGTCTATACTAGCATACAATCTATGATAAGTACTAGAATAAATTCTATGTGCACTCAGCAACCTAAAATGGCACAGTTGCCCAGACTAGGGGTGTATAGCTCAACCCCTACAGAAAGAAGAGGGGGGGGGGGGAGGGGAGGAGGAGGAGGAGGAGGAGGAGGAGGAGGAGGAGGAGGAGGCGGAGGCGGCGGCGGCGGAGGAGGAGGAGGAGGAGGAGGAGGAGGAGGAGGAGGAGGAGGAGGAGGAGGAGGGGGGGGGGGGAGGGGGGGAGGAGGAGGAGGAGGAGGAGGAGGAGGAGGAGGAGGAGGAGGAGGAGGAGGAGGAGGAGGAGGAGGAGGAGGAGGAGGAGGAGGAGGAGGAGGAGGAGGAGGAGAAGTAAATTCCAAGCTGAATTATAACATCAAATTTCCAAATGGGGTTTTACAAAACATTATTAGCAATATATCTATAATTACTACAAAATCTTAAAGAGAGTCACTTTATAATAACCAAGAAAAGTACTTTAATGTATTTTGTGCAACCAACTTCAAAATAACTTGAGAAACAAAGGCAATGCATACATACTGTAAATCTATAGAATATGTAAGAAGCCATTTCAACAGCTAAAATTTTTAGAGATACTGAAAGTATTATTTTCTTCTAATTTTAGCTTCTATTTTCTATACATATTCTATGTTCAATTAAAAGAAATTCAGTAACATTTTGTAAGTGCTTTTTGGATTTGCTACTTTCATACAAAGCTTAATTTTATTTCATTCTTCAGGAAGAGTCTCACTATGTAGCCCAAACTGGCCTCAAATTCTTGATTCTCCTGCTTCAGTTTCCAGAGTGCTATATTATGGGCATGTAGTACTATGCCCAGCTAAAGCTAGAGAGAAAGAGATAAGCACGAGGTGGGGAAGAATTAACTACTTACCAAAATACAAATAAAAAAATAGAATCAAACCCTGTAAACTTTCTCATTCTATAGAAAGAAACTGTTTACAGAAAACTTTCTTGGGGGGGGGGGGGGGGGAGGCTGGGAAGGGATGTGAAGGGTAAACAAAGGAGGAGGCTGCAATGCTTGATAAGAAATGTACTCATTATCTTGCCCATTTAATTGTAACCCCTCTGTACAGTATGTTCACAAAAAATAAAAATTTTTAAAAAAAAGAAAACTTTCTTAGGAGGCAGGATATCAAAATTACATCACAGAAACAAGATAAACATACTTTCTGAAATAAAAATCATCTCTATTAAGTAAATTCAATTTGTAAACTGAGAAAGGTCCTTTCAATGAATAAGCAAACAAATAATTTAAGTTCCCTGAAAAGGCTTTACTTCAAAGTTTTGAAGAACCTACAGAAGAATGAATCTGAGGTTGATCATTCTTGCAGAAGTTCTGAAATAAATGCTTTTGAGTGGGAAGGAGACTAAGTTTCTAAACCACCCTAAGTAAGTCTCTTATTGCTTCAATTCTGCCTACAGTGACAAAAGCAAAATTTACTACATCTTTGCAGTTTATCACTTTCAAAAGACATGTGACTGCATTATTTCTGTTGAAACAAAGTATTAAACTCTTCACTTCTCAAATGAGCTTCCAACGGTTTGGGCAAAGGCAGCATTGTGCATTAATCTTGGTGTAAAAGCAGCAATAACCACCAGATGGCAACCATCTATTATAGTAAAAGGCGAAAGATTTATACGATCTGAAGAGAAACCAAAGTGTGCAACCATTTATTATAATATCAAAATACTCAAATTCTACCATCACAAAGCAAAATGCAGAAAAATCTAAAAAGTTAGCATGCATTCCATCTGTTTTTCTCACTGAACAATAATTTTTCAAGGTTAATTGCAAATAGCAGTAAAAAACTAGTCTTTCCATGCCTATTCTGACCTTTACTATATACTCTATCATTAAGAATAGCAGAGCATCATTAATAAACACATATACAAAAAAAAGACACCAGCAGACAGATAAGACATGAGGAGAGTGTGTGATTTGGGGTGTATTCCCAAAATACAAAATATCAATATACAAACATGGGTGGAGAAGTGGGGGAGGATCCAATTACCAAAATACAAAAGGTCTTTAGACTTTTCTAAGTTTTTGCATTTTGGGTAATGTTTCATATCTCACAAAAAGTAATTCAATTAAATAATGAGAATATCAGTACTTTGCTAAAGCAAACATTTTATAATTGAAAGTACGCAAAACAACTTGAGAATTTTTTAAATAAAAGTAGACAAAGATATAAACATTATAACCAGGCGCTGGTGGCTCATGCCTGTTATCCTAGCTACTCAGGAGGCTGAGACCTGAGGATCACGGTTCAAAGTCAGCCCAGGCAGGAACATCCGTGAGACTCTTTTATCTCCAATTAACTACCAGAAAACTAGAAGTGGCACTGTGGCTCAAGTGGTAGAGCACTAGCTTTGAGCTGAAGAGCTGAGGGACAGCATCCAGTCCCAGAGTTCAAGCCCCACAACCAACAAAAAAATAAATAAATAAATAAACATTACAGTTTATAGCTGTAAATTATAGCTACACAATGTATAGCTATAAATTTTCCAGTAAAAAGATAAAACTATATTAAATTTTGTCTACAAAATAAACAAGCCAGTCAAATAAATATATTTAACTATTAGCAAAATGCAACAGCCAAGTACATAAAACAATCTTGCCCAAAAGAGTATATTATATGGATTCCAATCAATTAAATTGAGTTTTCTAAAAAAACAAACAACAGCTACAACAAAAACCCTTAGTTTTAAAAGTATAATATGGTAATGTTTTAAAGCCTGGCTTTTCTAACACAAACCTCAAATGACTTTTCCAGTGTGAAGTTGATGGTACAAATGCAAGGTGTCACTTCTGGAGACAAACATTTATGGCAGGGACTGGAAGGCTCTGTTCCGGTATAATCAATCTGTAAGAGAAAAAGGTAAGTAAGCACTTCCTTGTAGAAAGAGGATGCCTAAGACACACTAAAATAACCTGCTATTCAAGGGAAAAAAACAGTCCAATAAAGCAACCTAGAGCCAGGCATTAACTGCTGTTAAGGTCATCTATTGGTTTCAACTAAAATAAGCCTTATTGTTCTTTTCTTGGCTGGTCTTTCCAATCAAAGTTATCTGTCTCTCTCTTTTCCCCTCTCCCTCCCTCCTCTCTCTCTCTCTCTGTCCTTTTTACCAAAACAAATACATTTATGCTTATAGTCATAAACATATAACATTCAAAACGCTTGACATATGAGGCTATAAACTACTAAACCACTAATATATCTTTATATATACTCTTTGTCCTTAGTTCCTAGCAGGAAGCTTGCCACTAGCATTTCCCAGGTAACTGGAGAACCTTTGTTACACATAAGCCCCTTGATTCATACCAGAATTTATGCCATCAAGATGGGGCGTGAGTCACCAGAACTTTGGCCCAGCCCAACCTCTAGGGAAGAGAGCACCGGGCTGAGAATTTATAGTTCGACTGTGGCATGGTCAGTGTTCAATCAATCGTGTAATCATGAAGCCCACACTTCAGACTGGACACAGGTGTAGGGCGTGTTCTGGTTGGTATACCCACTGAGATACTGAGAGGACTGTGTGCCCCAAGCACACAGAGAGGGCATGGAAGCTCCATCCCCAACTCTTTCAGATCTCACCACCAAATGAGGGTGGTGACTGAGGAGGGGGCAAGACCAAGGGGAAGAGGGATGGTCAGGCATCTCATAAGGCTTGAGTATGAAGCCAGCTGACAAGCATGAGTGGCTTGCCTAGGGACTTGATTTGTGGGGGACAATCTTTCAGTCCACACATTAAAACTTGTGGCTCACACCTGTAAACCTAACTACTCAGGAGGCTGAGAGCTGAGGATTGTGGTTTAAGCCAGTCCAGGCAGGAAAGTCTGTGAGACTCATCTCCAGTTCATCAGCAAAAAGCCAGAAGTGGAGCTATAGCTCAATAGAGCCTCAGAAATAGTGCGACCCTGAGTTCAAGCCCCAGAACTCGCATAAAAAAAATAAATAAAAACTTGTGACACCTGATGGCAGGGTGATTAGTATCAAAACTTTCACCATACCAGATGGTCTGCTAAACTAAAATCCTTTTTTTCTCAATACAAATAAGAAATTCCTAGGAAATTGTTCTTTTGGAAGATTCAGTGAACTTTCCTTGATTACCGGCTGCTGATTCTAAGCAAGAGTATGGATCTAGCCCTGTCCTATCCTGAAGTCTCAACCATGCTCTGTCTTTTCACACATGGCTGTGCCCTTCCTGGTATACAAACTTGGGACCCACAGGTTATAAAAGTGAAGAGGAACTTTAGGCAAATAACTATGGTCTCTGTTATTGTTACACCCTTCTACAAATTGTGGAATTCTCCCTCGTGAGAATCTGTGAGGGACACACCTTAAGAGACAAAGGGGAGAAATGGCTCCTTGTCCATCCTAAGCTTATAGTAGGCAGTACCAAGGCACAGGATCTAAGCTCAGTACAGTCTGGACGTAAGTATCTGAATCATGAGAGACAGACACAAGAGTGGAGGTGATTATAGACTAGCAGCCAACGAAGCAGAGAAAGAAGAGGGGAGAACTCAACAGCAGCCATGGCCATTGGGCCAGACTACATTTTTAAAAGCTCTTCCATTTCCACCTGCCTCCTATCTCAATCTCTATATTCCCCATCCATTTTGACTTTGTGGAAAAGCTACCCAATGCCTCTCTAATAAATTCTTTTTCTAACCTAGATAGCAGTACATACTGCTGTTAACAACAACTCCTCTGAAAACTAAGTAACCTTGAGTGCTTTTAAAATGTTCCTTCAGAAGGGAATAAAGAACTGGAAAGTGTTTTTAAGAGAGGTGATGAATTCAAATATTTGCCAGCTGGGTCTATTCCCATAGTGGAGGCTTGGAACCCTCTCAAATGGCAAGAGTCAGGAAATGGGCCTTCCAAACACTCTCTAATGAGGGAATCATTCATTCACCTAATATTTAATGGGTGCCTATGTATTCCAGGCATGACAATCTAGTATAACACTTGACCGCCCAGAGCTCAGCTTCTGATAGTCTTTTAAATGGAATGAATTTTTGTGGGTTTTTTTTTTTTAATTATTTTTTCCAGTCCTGGACACCATCCTTGAGCTTTTTTTTTGGTCAGTTGTGGGGCTTGAACTCTGGGCCTGGGCATTGTCCCTCAGCTCAAGGCTAGTGCTCTACCACTTGAACCACAGCATCACTTCTGATTTTCTGGTGGTTAACTGGAGATAAGTCTCACGGACTTTCTCCTGCCTAGGTTGGCTTTGAACTGTGATTCTCAGATCTCAGCCTCCTGAATAGCTAGGATTACAGGCGTGAGCCACCAACACCCGGCTTCCCTAAGCTTCTTTTGCTCAAGGCTAGCACTCGACTTGAGCCACAGTGCCACTTCCTGCCTTTTCTGTTTATGTGGTACTGAGGAATCAGACCACTCAGTGCTTCATGTGTGCTAGGCAAGCACATTCCCAGCCAAAATGAGTATTTTGATAAAACAAAAATAAAAATGAGTTTTGATTTTTAAAAAATTGTTTTATCAAATACCATATAGATAGCCTTGCCTCATAGTCAGCAAATTTCTCCAGGTCAGCTACAGAATAGATCTTATCTACAGGAACACAGTAAAATACTCATCCTTGGCTGAAAGCACAGCACACTGATGCACCCAAAAGACACATGAGTTCAAGATTTCAAGTACAGTTGACTTACAGAAAATGATCTGAGTAGGCTGGAGGCAAAGCAACTTCAAGTGCCAAAGCACCGGCCTGCCAGGCATGTAGCCTTGACTTCAAATCCTAGTACTGCTAAAAAAAAAATGTGATTTATGCCACTATAAACTAGACAATGTGGCTTTCTAGCACAGGGGATTGATGAAGAGCACAGGGCCACTGCAGGCCTATGCTAGTAATGCAGCATAGAAGCATCTGGAATTGTTAGTAAAGGCAGACTCTGGGAATGGATATTGTTACTCAGGGGAACAGAAACACCAGCAGCATCAGAAAGCTCATGAAGACAGCAATGTATGACAGACATCAGCCGGGGGCTAGGAAGAGCAAGATCTTTCTCCAGGTGTCCTCAAGAAAATAAACCTACAACTTGTATTCTAATGTCACTAGTGTGACACCACAGGAGCAAATTTCTCTGCTCTGTTACTAAGTAATTTCAAGTAAAAGAGTAATTGTCCAACAAGTCGTTTAAGGATTCAGGTGGACCTGTTGCAACAATGAGAAGTACAAAATGTCATGTCAAAACCAGCTTTACAATGTCGGTGTGGGGGGGGGGTATGATTGGGTGGGGGGGAGGGGGGAGGCTGGGAAGGGAGGTGAAGGGTAAACAAAGGAGGAGGCTGCAAATGCTTGGTAAGAAATGTATGCATTATCCTGCCCATGTAATTGTAACCCCTCTGTACAGTATGTTCTCAAATAAAATTAAATTAAAAAAAAAAAAAAGAGTAATTGTCCGGGTTCAGTGGTAGAGCGCTTGCCTTGCATGCCTGAGGCCCTGGATTCGATTCCTCAGCACCACATGAGCAAAAAAGAAAAAAAAAACCCGGAAGTGATGCTGTGACTTGAGCTAAAGAGCTGAGGGGACAGCGCCCAGGCCCAGAGTTCAGGCCTCACGACCGGACCCAAAAAAAAAAAAGAGTAATTGTCCTCAAGTGGAGTAAATGTCCTGTTCTTGACTCAGAGAAGTAGTATAAGTTACAGTCTGCTACACAAAACTCAAATATGAGGGTCCAAGGCTAAACTTCCACAAAGGTTCCTATCACTAGAGACTAAGAAATCTGCACAATAAGGACCTGGTAGGAAAGAAGATGGCTATGGATTTACAGAGAAGAGAAGTAAAAGGAGCACAGAAAGTACTGACATATTTAAAATGCCTTTTTTAATTATTATTATTATTATTTAGACAAACACCACTGCGGGGGGAATCCTTTCTCTCAATACAGAAAAACAGGACAGCACCAGAGAAACCAAACTGTCCTAAAAAGCACTAACTATAGTGATCAGAGAAAGAGAAAAAAAAATTGCCAGGCACCAGTGGCTCACACCTATAATCCTAGTTACTCAGGAGGCTGAGATGTGAGGACTGCAGTTGAATGTAGCCCGGGGAGAAAAAGTCTGAGAGTCTTATATCCAATTAACTACTAAAAAAGGCTGGAAGTGGAGCTGTGGTTCAAGTAGCAGAGTGCTAAATGTTCTCCATGAAAGAGAAAACACTATTCTTGGTCCTATAAAAACAAAGTGAGATTCAGAGATTCAATGTGACTGCCAAGTCCAAACAGCCAGTAAGTGGAAACACTTTGTTTTATGGGACTACTGAAGCAAATTTCCACAAATTGGATGTCTGGGAACAAGAGAAATGTAACACGTGTGTTTCATAGTTCTGAAGGTGTAAGCCCAATTTGGGTGTTAGCAGGGCCACATTTCCTGCTAGCACATTTCCTGCAGCTCCTTCCCAGTTTCTGGCCATGGCCAGCAACCCCTGCACTTCTTTAGCTGGCAGCTGCATCACTCCATCTCTGTCTCTGCTGTTACACTGAGTTCTCTCTGTCCTTGTTTTCACACCAATTCTGATGTGTGTCTGCTAGAGGCAAGCCAATCACACTGGATGGGAGCCCCACATGAGTGACCTCATCCGAACTTGATTCCACCAGCGAAGACTCTTTCCAAATAGAGTCACATGCACAGATACCCGGAGTTAAGATTTCAGGTCTCCTTTGGAGGATCACATTCAAACCACTCAGAAGCAAATCTGTCAAACTCCAAAATTGTTTTCTTTTCATTAGACTCATTACTGCTTCCTCTTATATACCCCTTCAAATCATTTAAATAGAAAAGTCCATTTAAAAGACATGTTAAAGTAAATTAGGCTCCAATGCCACCAACATCATTATGA